AAAAGACTTGAAAATAAAAAAAGTTGCATTTTCTATCTTGGACATAAAAAGTTGTAGTTTGGGTGTTAAATGTCTTACAAAAGAACCAAATAGTCTAAGTCGTCGATCCCTTTGCGGAGTTTTGTAGTTGAATTATATTTTAGGCACTGACCGTTTTTTTCTTTTTAAGGAGCATGGTATTTTTCTCGTGACAAACATTTTTTCCCCGACTTAAAAAAACCCAAGCTATTTCTCAATAACAAGAAAATTATTACGAAACGCAATGAATAATTCATTTCACCCCTAATATTCAATGCAAACAAAGTTTTTTGTTCACTTTCCTTCTCATATGGAATTATACTTAAATTAAATATATATAGAATACTCCCCATCAAAAGATGAATGGTCGGTGTTTTATTGAACTTTTGAAAATTCGCCCTTACAACAAATAAGACAACTGTTGTTAGTAGTATAAAGACATATGAATATGTTAATGATGATTAGGTTAATGTAACCATTTTTTCTTTCATAACACAACATCCAATAAGGGTACGCAATGATGACATCTGAATGGAATAAACGGCATATATATATATATATATAAACAAGTCTAAATTGAAAACAACGTTCAAACCTATATGATTGCGTTGGATAAAAACCGCAATTTTTATACGTTTGCATGCAAAACAAATTTCTTTGTAGAGGGGTCTAAATACAGCACAAACAACATTTTCCAAAAGATCAAAAAAGTGAAAAAGTATATTTTAACAAAACGCATTTGACTAGCAGGTCGAACAACGGATGTTCTTGAACCCTACTGACTGCCATGGCGATTGCCAAATAAACAGATCACAGATGTAACACAATGGATCTTAATTATTAATTTAATACCAAACAGAAAACAATAAACTTGCGGAAAAGATGGTATAACGCAAACATGAGGTGCAAAAATTTGTACACCATAACAATAAATGTCTCTTCACTGATGTTAGGAATCGAAACGGAATTTGGAAGGCCATATAATTTACCTCAATTTGGGACTGACTCTTGAATTTTGAAGAGTCGAAATAGGATGAACGGATCATTTAAACCCGCAGGCAAATATAATACAAGCCCAAACGAAAAAATATAAACAAGTCTAAACTTTGAAAACAACGTTCAAACCTATGATTGCGTTGGATAAAAACCGCAATTTTTATACGTGTGTATGCAAAACAAATTTCTTTGTAGAGGGGTCTTAATACAGCACAAACAACATTTTCCAAAAGACCAAAAAAATGAAAAAGTATATTTTAACAAAACGCATTTGACTAGCAGGTCGAACAACGGATGTTCTAAAACCCTGCTGACTGCCATGGCGATTGCCAAATAAACAGATCACAGATGTAACACAATGGATCTTAATTATTAATTTAATACCAAACAGAAAACAATAAACTTGCGGAAAAGATGGTATACCGCAAACATGAGGTGCACACATTTGTACACCATATCCGGATTTCGACAATAAATGTCTCTTCAGTGATGTTAGGAATCGAAACGGTATTTGGAAGGCCATATAATTTACCTCAATTTGGGATTGACACTTGAATTTTGAAGAGTCGAAATAGGATGAACGGATCATATAAACCCGAAGGCAAATATAATACAAGCCCAAACGAAAAATACATGTACACCATATCACCCTTGTTATTATCTATATAGTTATTAATATCATCTTTACATTTCAGTATATCGAAAGACGCCGTACAGAAAAACAAGTTATTTTGCAATTCGCCGTACAACGCCCTTCAATTCTCCGTATAGTAACTTGAAAATTATATGTGCATATTCTTTAAAAAACATCTTTTTGAGAGCAAATTTCAGTAAATATACTAAATATGATGTCACATTATCATAATCTAAAAATTTGTCTGGAAAAAGAATGAATATTTGGCCAGTGGGACGTCGGAGAGCGATTGACCTCGAAATTTTCTGGTACCAAGCGCACAGTTTTGAAGTATTACGCAAAATCTTGTCTTTGTTTGCTACTTGTTGGCATAAAAATTAAGCACTATATATATCAGAAAATCGTTTCATAAGCGGTAACCTCATCAAAACGGTAGAAATGGTTTAAATCAAATGATTTCTAACCTTTTTTTTCCTCCTTTCTCTCCGCTTCGTTAGTACCCAATTTCCGTTGGCTTTTATACTTTATTTTTTGTTGATGTTTATCATTTGAATTTGTCACAAGTTTCATGTTTTACTTATATATATGACAATAAAGAATTATATACTGAATAATTTAAATTCTTATCCTTTGACATGGCATTTTCGTATAAAAAAACACTGCGTTTGCCCATGTCTGATGATGACGACTACTGGTTTTCAGATATTACATATTGGATTGAAACCTTACTTAGATATAAAAGTTTTCTACACAAATTGAGGTCTATATTTATGCCCCTGTTGCTAGGCGAGGGGACATTAAGTGTTACCCTTGACCGTCCGTCAGTCTGTCTTTCCGCCCGTCCCATTTTTAAATTGCAAAGCTTGAGCAGGGGCATTCGTGTCCTCAGACACTTTCTTCTTTTATTAGTAACTATGATCTTGACCTTTGACATGGTGAACTAAAAATCAATGAGGAACTTCCTCTCATTACATGCGACATATATCCCAGTAAGGTTGCAATCTGATATAAGAATTCGAGTAAACTAAGCATCTTGAAAAAAAGAACCGACAGACGGACAGACGGACTGACATACAGATGAACGGATTGACAGGCAGGAAAAAATCTTCATTGCAAGGGATATAATTCATACCATCAGTAAGTAAGAGTCTGCATGGTAGGTACACAAGTATGAACAGCAGGGACTGACACTAGAGATTGATGGCTACTGAGGATGGATACTGGATAGACAGGAAATTTCCCACTAACCCATCAGAGTGTTGTTGCAGCTGTTCTTTAACGTGCAGAGTATATGGAATTTGCCCTTCAAGAGACATGGGATTTAGAATTTGGTGAAATTATTAACTTCTTTTCTGCAGCAAAATCCCAAGCAGGATGGATAGTCTAATACTTATTCTACTTAATATTAAAACCCCTTTCTAGTCAAAAATTTGGAATTTTGACTGAACGTTGCAATATTGCTGTATGAAAATAAAAAGAGGTCAAACACGTATGAATAATTCAAATGTTGTGAAAATCTTTTCATATAAGTTTATCTTACTTTATGTAAACCAATGAACCAAGAAAATTCTAAAGAAAAAATCTTAGTTTTTATATGCAACTCCATATTCAACTTTACATGGTTTTCAATATTCATCATATTTTTTTTTTTTTGGCAAAAGAAGTTTTCATAAATGTAAAAAAATCATACTATTTTGATTTGAATTCAAAATCACATACTAGTAAATACGTAATGCTTCGTAGAAAATATTTTAGCTCTACTTGTCTTGTGTATGGTCTAAAAATTCATAATGTTGGGATAATTTCAGCTTATTTGGTGTAATCTGGGACCAATATTTATAAATCCAAGGTGTTAATTGATATGACATAATTTTCATTTTTCATAATGTACTAAAGTTTTTGTCATTCTGTGCAAACAATACTTATTTCATGGCATAAAAAGTGTCACAAGCCACACATATATGAGTATATGCTGCTTATTAAATGTTTCGACTTAAGGTCGCACAACATTCAGCAAACATGATATTCTTCCAGCTTCTACGTTATATGACTTAAAACAAAAAGACATTTTCCCCATTCAGATTAAATTCAGCATTTGTCCTCAACATGCATGAAATATTTTCCACTGGATGTTGAGCAAACATCAACTAATCAATCAATTCAGCATACATATTTAATTAAATAGGAACAAAATTACTGCGGAAATTAATCCGAATGAAATATGACTTTTTTTCATTTCCCTCCATGAATACAAAACTGTAGTTGTTGGCCACTTTCAGCAACCTTGGCTATATATGGCAGTCAGTCTATGGTTGGTGGAGGAAGATGGAACTAGTACCTGGAGAGAACCACCAATCTTCAACAGAAAAACTCAGGCAATCCTTGCTAATCAAGATCTGAGTTGAACCCTCGCAATGACCAGGTTTCAGATTTGGATCAAAGTTGAAAGGCCAGTGACTGGTTCCATCAGATGTAAATTGGGATAGAACAAATCATTATTCAATAGCCTTAATATGAACAAACAAAAATGTCTAACATGCACGCTCAACAGTTAAATACCTCTCATAAAAAGTGACCTACTATAATATAAGGGATCTTATGAATACTTCTGAGCATCATACATCAACATTATCTTAAACTGTTAACACAGAGATATGCCTCACCTTTTTGTTATTTTGCTAGTAAAATGCAAATGATATTTAAATAGCAAAACTTGAACATGCAAGTTATGCAAAATATTCAAAGTCAATGAACCATGACTGAAGGCACAGGGCCAAACATTCTCCATGGAAATTCGATGTGCCAATGCTAATACAACATACTAAATATCATTGACCTACCACTAGTTGTTACCCATAAACTGACCTAATCACAAACTAATACATGTAAACTAAGCAAAAGTTTCAAAGTCAGTAGACAATGACCGAGGGGACGGGGCCAAATAATCTCCATGGAAATGAGATGTGCCAATGCTGATACAACTGCATACCAAATATCATTGACCTATCACTAGTAGTGGTTCCCCATAATCAGAAATTAGGTACCTCACAGATCTGAAAAGCTCACGTTTTAACTCATCAGTCAAGCTTTGACCAAAATGGTAGTCATCCTGTTCAGCAGTACCTGAAAAAAATGTGACGGGAATATTTGCTGGACAAACGGGCAGACAGAGGGACAGACCGACAAGGTGAATGCAATATAGCCTTAACTCCTCGAGGAGGTATATAATACTAGGACAAGAAGCCATCATTGCTGATTTTCAATATAAACTTTTATTAAGAAATATTATTTCAATAACCATACACAAAATGCAAAAAAAAAAATAACACTTGAATGTTTTGTTAATAAAATATCATTCTCTTACTCCAAAAATTGAAAATTAAGAAACAATGTAATTATTTTTTTTAAGTACTGGTAATCAAATTCGAAATACTTTACCCTCCTTCTAGATTCATCCAATCTTAATCCAATGGCAGATTTTAGTAGTTTTATTGAAAATTGGTCATAAGAGATGATTACAATTAGATGAAAGAAGCACCTGCTGTTAGATTGAAACAGAATAAACCTTCACAAAGTCTTGTTCTATCTCTCTATCAAATATGCAAATCAGATGAATTTAAAATATAAAAAGAAGAATTTAATATCCAAAAGATATCATTAAATTTCAAACCAACCCATACTGCTATTTCCTATAACTTAGTTTACAGTTTTTACTAAGCTCTACAAAATGGCAAATTTTGATTACATCTGATGTGCTCCTATTAATGTCTAATTAATTACCTTTCACCAAAGGAAGCGACCAGAATAAGGAGGTAAATAGGTGTATTCCCTCCCCTTGCCATAAACTTCACCCTATTAGCTCCTCATTCATCACATGGATTTTGCTTTCTGTGTTGAAGGGGTTAACAAATGACATAGATACACATAGAATAGAACATGACTGTGATGTTTAAAACAATGAGAGCTGATTTATTAAATTTTGATCCATGTCATATTCAAGTGTATATTCTTTGTTCATAGATTCAAGCCATAAAACAAATCAAAGAAAAAGTAGCATCTCAAAATACTATCTTCCTTCTAGATTTATCTTATCTAAACCAAATGACAGGTTAATTTTGGCAACTTGTTTGAGACCAGTCTACAAAAAGTTGTAAGAAGTGCCTGCTGTTTGGCTGAAAGAAAAAATAAACCTCCACATAATATCTTTCTCTCCCTCACACACACCAGATGTATTAAGTTGTAAGAATACTTTTCGATCCAATACAACTTATAAATTTCAGAAAATCCCATACTGCCATTTCCTAGAACTTTGTTTACAGTTTTTTCTTTTATCTTTTTTTTTTTCTTTTTCTTTTGTTTACATTATTTCTTTACTATTAGCTCTACAAAATGGCAAATTTTGATAACATCTGTGTCCCTTAAATATATTACATGTAAATAATACAAGTATGATAAATTAACTTTCATCATAGGAAGAAACCAGTATTAGGAGGTAAATAGGTTTATTCCCTCCCCTTGCCATAACTTCCAACCTATTAGCTCCTCATTCATTTTAGATTTCAATTCCTGTGTTGAAAACTAAAAAAAATAAATATATAAAAAATGGTACACTTAATATATTGCATATGTGTGATAATTTAGATATAAAATGAAAATTTATGATTTAAATTTTTTAGTATGTAATATTTTTAGTGTATCCTTTTTAAAAATACAGTTTTCAATACACAATGTAATACTCATCCAAGATTTATCCAATTTAAACAAATTGGCAAGTGCTTGATTATTTCAATACAAAAAGTTATAAAGAAGAACCTGCTGTTTTGCTGAAAAAGAATAGACCTTTACATAGTCCTTATTTCTGTCTTTCATACACTGCAATTCCTCTTAGATTAATCTTGTTTAAACCATAAATACAAACAAACAAAAAATAGCAGTGACCGTCTATAGTCAAACAGCTCTTAAAAAATGGAAACAATATTATGAGCTTTAAGGTTGAAACAGGATAAATCTTTACAAATGAATATTCTAACTATCTCACATTTTAACATAATGAATTTTGAAGAAAAAATTTTTTTTTAATCAAACATTGAAGATAAGCAGTGAGCTTTAAAATGAACAAATTTAATCTTCACAAATACCTAGCTGACTCTCTCTTTGCCTTTCACACATTTCATATTTTGAAATTATATTTGACTCTCTCAATTTTATAATCAATAAATAAAAAAGTTTGTGTGTGTTGTCCTTCCTTCATTTTCACCTTTTTTTCAAAATATCCACAATTGGAAGCATCAAACATTACCTACAAATGGAATGATAAGTTTTATCACTAAGGTTCTTAAAAATAAAAAGGAGAAACAATTTTTCTGTGTCACAATATTTATTCTTCATAATCAGGTTAATCACTGACAGTTAAGATTATGTTTTGCTGCTAAGTTCTTTATTTTTTATACCATTTGGTGTCCAAGATTGAATATCCGTTTACAATGCAAGCCAGGTGGCAAATAATTGGTTTTAAGAAAACGAAAAAGTTTCAAATGGTAAAACTTGACCATTCTGTGGTTTTTGCATAAAAAAATGAATCTTACAGTAAGATCTGAATGTTATTTCAGCCCTATTTGCAAATCTGATTTGATGATGATATGATATTGTATTTATAAATTAGTCCCAATAAAAAAATCTCTTATCTCCCTTGAAATAATTTTCAGCAATGCATTTCCCCCCTTTCCTCAGTATGATTGTGTGATGCACACATTTTTACATAATTAGTATATCTTCATATTGATGAGTTATTAATGAAAAAAATTCTCTGAGCAATGAGTCCTGTCATGTGTCAATTAGTTTTGAAGCTATAAAATATATAAACTGGTAGAAATAAGGCCAATAACTCATCTGAATGCTTTAACAAGGAAATTTTATACAAGAATACAACCAGTCTCTTTAACAATACATTTGTGTAGTGTTTTTGTAATAATGCTGACTTACCTAAACATCAGGTAAATTTATTCCCATTAAGTTTTCATCTAATAAAGGCACTTTGTGAATACCATGCAGGGCCAGCATCGCATTGAATGAAGCTGAAAATATAAATTATCAAAATGTTTTACTGTTCTGAGATACTTATATTTCTTCAACTTCTAATTGGTAGCATTAGAATATTTTAAAATTAGCATATTACTCATTCCTATTCTGGATTTTATTTTCTGTTAAAGTTATCCAATCTGAGCAGCCACTTAAAAATCAGCCTTCATTAACTGCAACAGTGTTCAAAAGATAATTTTTGAAACAAGAACAATATCCCTAGAATATCGCATCCATTATTCTTAGTGGATTTTTTTCTTTATGCATTTTCTCAATATAGTAAAAATTATGAGAGTTCTAAGGTCCCAGCCAGATAGATGACTTGGTCTTATTGATGCATTGACCATTATAAATCAACCTTCAAAAGTATTTTTTTTTAAATTTAAGAAAAGATAACCTCGTGTTTTGCATTGAACCACTTCAGATTTGAGGTAACAATCTCTTGAAAACTTCCTGTTTGCTATTTTCATCCTGAAAAAAAAAAAGATTGGAAAAAATATGCTTAAAAGTTAAAACAAATGATATAATTAGAAATGCATATAATCTAATTTTAATAATATTTAAAATTTAATTCCTATAACTTAACTCTGAAATATTTCATTCACACTTCTCATTATCAGTGATTGAAAAGTGACAAGCTCTCAAAATCCTAGCTTAAACCCTGCTCATTATTATCATGAAATGGCACTTTTGAGGTAAAACAGTATCAATTTTCCAAGTCCTGCAGCAACATCGAATTAACCTTTTTGTTTAATCTTGGCATCTCAAAAAGAATGGATCAACATTTGTAAATGAAACATACTTCACCACGCACATAATTTTTCATAATCCATTAAATGGCAAATCTGCAAAAAGATGACTAAATATGACATGCAAAAAGTTCAATTTAAATGTTTAAAAGATATTACTTTAATTTTGTCTGCTCTTTTAACTTATCAGTTAGCAATGCATTACTGGGAATAATCTAATATAATTTAATCTCTTTAATGTTCACTCAGGCCTTTGCTCTGGTCATGGAGATCTCTTGCTTGGATAACCATCTTTCATAATATTCCATTCCAACTTGTTGCAGTCAGTTGATGTCCACTTGCAAATATTTTTTGCATATTCAGGACATTAATTCCAGTAGGTACCTTTTGCAAAATTGGTAAACCAGGATGAAAGGTATAAGATTTAAACTACCATTGTAAAAAGGGGAAACTTGGAGGCAGAAATTCTGTCTTGCAACAGGCAAGATACATACCCCTCAGAGTTGTTGCCAGGGTTCTTTAATGTGCAGAGATCAATCTCCTACTTCACAATCAAATCGGATGTGACTGCATATTAATATTCCATTGCAACAAAAACTGATCCCCTTCAAATAAGATTTACCGCTGGATGGGAGAAGTCCAGATGACCACATATCCCACTGATTCCTTGGGTTTCCCCATTTGAATAAAATTTTATATTAATTAGGGGTTTGGGTATTGCCTCTAAATACCACCTCCTCCCTTTTAACTTTATTTGTATTTGGCAATTTATACTCTGTTGTAAAGTTTTCTTTTCTTCAATTTATTTCTCTTTTTAATATATTCTAAATTTCTGCACATAAATGTTAGGTGAAAACCTATCGAGGAATGGACAATTCATTTTTCACTCACATCTTTCTTTGTGTTATTTTATTCTCAGATTTGTTGTACTTTATTTATTGACCAATTAAAATATTATTTTATGATACCTATTAAAATTCTTTGAAGTTTTCCCTCCATCCCAAATATAAACCACACTCGAATGGCACTAAAAATGAATATTTTACCCTTGCCTTACAAAGCTTCAAAGTCAGCTAGAACACAACCATTAGGTCCAAAAATAATAATACAAAATACAATGATAAATTGTGTAGCCAGGTAAGACAAGAGTGGACACGCTGAAATGTCTCGCCTTCTTTACTAACCATTGATATTATGTTGATAGTCCTAAATGAAAGCTTTACTACAACTATTACATAAACTTAACATGATCCAAGAAAATGAAGTCAAGGTCATATAAACCAAACGAGAAATACATGTACACCTTACAATCATTCAATACACTAAATATAGTTGACCTATTGCTTATAGTTTCTAAGAAACAGACTTAACCAAGAAAACTAAACATTGACCAATGAATCGTGAAAATGAGGTCAAAGTCAGATGAACCATGCCAGGCAGACATGAACAGCTTACAATCCTTCCATACAACAAATATAGCTGACCTATTGCTTATAGTTTAAGAAAAACAGACTGAAACACATAAACTTAACACTGAGCAATGAACCGTGAAAATGAGGTCAAGGTCAAATAAAACCTGCAAGACTGACATGTACATCATAGAATATTTCCATACACCAAATATAGTTGACTTATTGCATATAGTATAAGAAAAAAGACCAAAACTCAAAAACTTAACTTTGACCACTGAACCACGAAAATGAGGTCAAAGTCAGATGACACCTGTCAGTTGGACATTTACACCTTACAATCATTCCATACACCAAATATAGTAGACCTATTGCATAAAGTATAAGAAAAACGGACCAAAACACAAAAACTTAACTATAACCACTGAACCATGAAAATGAGGTCAAGGTCAGATGACACCTGCCAGCTAGACATGTACACCTTACAATCATTCCATACACCAAATATAGTAGACCTATTGCATACAGTATAAGAAAAACAGACCAAAACACAAAAACTTAACTATAACCACTGAACCATGAAAATGAGGTCAAGGTCAGATGACACCTGCCAGTTGGACATGTACACCTTACAGTCCTTCCATACACCGAATATACTAGACCTATTGCTTATAGTATCTGAGATATGGACTTGACCACCAAAACTTAACCTTGTTCACTGATCCATGAAATGAGGTCGAGGTCAAGTGAAAACTGTCTGACAGGCATGAGGACCTTGCAAGGTACGCACATACTAAATATAGTTATCCTATTACTTATAATAAGAGAGAATTTAACATTACAAAAAATCTGAACTTTTTTTTCAAGTAGTCACTGAACCATGAAAATGAGGTCAAGGACATTGGACATGTGACTGACGGAAAGTTCGTAACATGAGGCATCCATATACAAAGTATGAAGCATCCAGGTCTTCCACCTTCTAAAATATAAAGCTTTTAAGAAGTTAGCTAACGCCGCCGCCGCCGGATCGCTATCCCTATGTCGAGCTTTCTGCGACAAAAGTCGCAGGCTCAACAAAAACTCTACCACTTGCACATAATTGCATTGCATTAAAAGGACAAGATATTAAAATGTTCCAAGAACTGTTGCACCATAAAATGACTAGCAGTGTTTTGTTTATATTAACAAAATTATTTTTTACTACTATTTAACTTATGAAATTTTGGGTTTTTTTTTTTTTGTAGTTCTTTTGGTTTTTTTTTCATTTAGTTTTATACTTTTACTTCAAAATTTAACATTAAGGTATTGGGAAAAACTGGATTCTGCTTGACAATATTTTTTTTCATCAAATTGGGGATCAGAATATGTTTTTAGGAGAAAACCATAACCATGCAAAATAAACCATGAATTTAAACAACATGGAGCTCAATTTTAACAGTGCATTTCTAACCAGAAAAAAATCAAAATTTACTATCTGCTTAATTTTAGAAAAAACTTCTATTCTTGATCATGTTTCTCTATATTTTTTAAGTATAATTCTAAATTCTATATGTCAAAATACATACTCCAAGCAATTCTTAAATGATCATGAAGAGAAGGAAATCTTACACAAAAATATTAACTTTTACAAATAATCTAACAACGTTTTTTTTTTAATCTGCTTTAATTTAAGAATTGAATATCTAAAATTTGAGAATACATTTAAACAGAAACCATTAAAGAGCTGCTATCAACACAAAATTCTCTAAATAACATAAATGATAAAAGACAAATATGGACAATTAAGGATCTGGACTTTAGTAATGAATGATATGCACTACAATGTTTATATAATTTTGATAAAATTAATTTTGAAATAATTACGAAAAAATTCAAATTGTTACTGAATCAAATGAGACCCCATAGAAAAAACTTTTTAAAACTTAAAACATCATATAAATAAACTTCAGAAATACATAACTAAGAAACTCTATAAAAACTATAGACAACATTTCAACAATCAAATACATGTATATGAAACCATTCAAACCAGCAAAATAGCAAGAAAACGTAAACACAACTTAGAAATGACCAATGAAGTTTAGACATACTAATGATAAAGAAAAAATGTTAGGTCTGTTAGATTGGTGGTTAAATGTTAGTATAGAAATGGCTAGTAAGTAAGATGTATTTCTGAATTTATTATCTGATATTTATTTGCATTATTTACCCTTGAATAAAAATATTTTTCTGTCAATTTATAATGTAGTGCACATATTCCCCTTTATATAAGGTAATTAATTATGGCCATTAACACCAAAAAATATCTCGATTTTATTTAATTGCTTATTATTCACCATTAACAAATTATTACCCGACATCCAAATAGAGTTTTACATGTACCTGAAAACTGAAATCTTTTTTCTTTATTTAGCAATTTGTTGAATATGGAATATTGATAGTCTCAGCTAAATTAATTCACTTTTTCTAGATTAGTGTTCAAAGCTCTAGTCGACATATTGTATAAGACACTTTTTTTTTAAATTGTTGATTGTTGGAGACCATAATTTTTTATGTTGATATTCTTTTTTTATGTGACGTTGGGTTGCTGTCTAATTGACCAATGATGTATTATGTATATCCACACAGCTTTTTTTTGTAGTTTAACAGGTTGTGTCAAATGCCAACTTTCAAAGCTGCAATTTCCCAAATATAAATGATTGTTGGTTGCTTAACGTCCAGTGGCAAATACCAAATATAAATGAGTATAAATCTCTAATCTATTTATAATCTTTTTTTTTAAACCATTCATTTTGCTTTAGATGTCCTTGAATGAAAAAATATGTAAGAGCAACAATTTAATATATGTGCTTCTATACAGATACACGCTAATATACATCTGATACATTAAGGATATAAGCTGAAATAAATCTGATATGTTAAGGATACAGGACGAAACACATCTGATACATACATATAATACATTAAGGAATAAGTAACTACTAAATAGATTTAAATCCTTCAAGAATGAAATTAAAAGTTCGGTTTGTAGATCCTGCAAAAAATACAAATATTTCATAAGATATCTATCGGATATTTCTGCAGTAACATCCTCAAAATACCCAACTTGGTTCATTCTGAAATAAAAACAAATTGGAGACCGTCTGCTGTCACATCCTGAAGTAATGGTACTCTTTTACAAGCTCTGGGTAGGAGGCCTGTAATTGCTGCAGGAACACAGTGGAACTGTCAACTACCCCGTCCGGGTCATCTACAACGGAGCCATTCTCAAAGTGTATGACTTAAGATCTCTTGGTCCATTCTGAAATAAAAACAAATAGGAGGATATCTGTGCAGTCACATCCTCAAGTAATGGTACTCTTTTACAAGCTCTGGGTAGAAGGCCTGTAATAGCTGCAGGAACACAGTGGAACTGTCAACTACCCCGTCCGGGTCATCTACAACGGAGCCATTCTCAAAGTGTATGACTAAAGATCTCTTGGTCCATTCTGAAATAAAAACAAATTGGAGGCCATCTGCAGTCACATCCTCAAGTTATGGTACTCTTTTGCAAGCTCTGGGTAGAAGGCCTGTAACTGCTGCAGGAACATAGTGGAACTGTCAACTACCCCGTCTGGGTCATCTACAACGGAGCCATTCTCAAAGTGTATGACTAAAGATCTCTTAGTCCATTCTGAAATAAAAACAAATTGGAGGCCATCTGCAGTCACATCCTCAAGTTATGGTACTCTTTTGCAAGCTCTGGGTAGAAGGCCTGTAACTGCTGCAGGAACATAGTGGAACTGTCAACTACCCCGTCCGGGTCATCTACAACGGAGCCATTCTCAAAGTGTATGACTAAAGATCTCTTGGTCCATTCTGAAATAAAAACAAATTGGAGGCCATCTGCAGTCACATCCTCAAGTAATGGTACTCTTTTACAAGCTCTGGGTAGAAGGCCTGTAACTGCTGCAGCAACACAGTGGAACTGTCAACTACCCCGTCCGGGTCATCTACAACGGAGCCATTCTCAAAGTGTATGACTAAAGATCTCTTGG